GCTGGACTCTCTCCAGCAGCTCCACATGCCTCTTGTCCTGGGGAGCCCAGAACTGCACACAGTACTCCAGATGTGGCCTCACCAGGGCTGAGTAGAGGGGGATGATCACTTCCCTCGACCTGCTGGAGACGCTCTTCTTAATGCACCCCAGGATCCCGTTGGCCTTCTTGGCCACCAGGGCACACTGCTGCCTCGTGGTCATCTTGTCATCTACCATGACGCCCAGGTCCCTCTCTGTGGGGCTGCTCTCCAGCAGGTCAACGCCTAATCTGTACTGGTGTCCAGGGTTATTCCTCCCCAAGTGCAGCACCCTGCACTTGCCCTTGTTGAACTTCATGAGATTTCTCACCGCCCAGTCCTCCAGTCTGTCCAGGTCCCTCTGGATGGCAACATAGCCCTCAGGGCTATCAGCTACTYCTCCCAGTTTGGTATCATCAGCAAACTTGCKGAGGGAGCACTCCAGCCCTTCATCCAGGTCGTTAATGAATAAGTTGAATAGGACCGGACCAAGGACAGACCCCCGGGGGGACACCGCTAACTACAGGTCTCCAATTGGACTCTGTGCCACTGACTACCACTCTCTGCACCCTGCCACTGAGCCAATTCCTAATCCACCTCCCCGTGCACTCATCTATCCCACACCTTTRGAGCTTGCCCAGGAGGATGCTGTGAGGGATGGTGTCAAAAGCCTTGCTCAAGTCCAGATAGACCACATCCACCGCTCTGCCCTCATCTATCCAGCTAGTCACTCCTGCATAGAAGGCGATCAGGTTAGTCAAGCAKGATTTCCCCYTGGTGAATCCATGCTGGCTACTCCTGAGCACCTTCTTCTCCTCCAYRTGTCYGGAGWCAGCAGCCRGGATGAGCTGTTYCATCMCTTTTCCGGGGATGGAGGTGAGGCTCACTGGCCTGTAGTTGCCCGGGTCCTCCTTCTTGCCCTTTTTTGAAGACCGGAGTGACGTTGGCTTTCTTCCARTCCTCTGGCACCTCCCCTGTTCTCCAGGACCTTCCAAAGATGATGGCGAGCGGCTTGGCTAGGACATCTGCCAGTTCCCACAACACCCTGGGRTGCATCCCATCAGGGCCCATGGATTTGTGGGTGTCGAGTTTCCTTAGGTTCTCTCTGACCCACTCATCCTCTACCCAGGGCACGCCTTCCTCTCTCCAGCTCCCTTGCTGTGTCCCTAGGGCCAGGGATTCTAGAGGGCTGCCCCTGACAAACACCGAGGCAAAGGCAGCATTCAGCAGCTCTGCTTTCTCCGTGTTTTTCATAACCAGGGTACCCACCCCATTCACTAGTGGACCCATGCTTTCCCTGACCTTCCTTTTGTTGTTAATATATTTGAAGAAGCTCTTAATCATCTTAAAAACAGTAATTATTCATTTAAAGAAATCAATATTTTCTGATATATAAATATTTATTTGAAAAAAAATCCAGTTCATTCTTTGTGTTCTAATCAGAAGAGGCACCTTTTGTATCTCACTCATTCTCTAATGTTCTAATTCAAGTGGTGCATCTAGTCATCGACTCTCCTTGGGGTCCCTCGAGCACGTCATTTGGCAGAATGTTGCATATCTTTGTACTACTCTAGTAGCTCCTAGCAATAACCACAGAACATGAGATTACTTATATTAGTACTGTATGCTGCAAAACAAAAAGCTTTGTGGTGATCTACAAGCTGTTTGTTTTCCAAGTATCAGTTAAAAGGCTGGAAGTGCATAGTAAGGATGCAATGGGTAGGAAGCTACTTATATAAAGGTATATACTTAAATACTTGCTTACTATTGATATGGTCATGTTGAGTGCAGACTAGACAGWGCATGAGCTGTTCCTGCCAAACAGGTTAATGCAGATCAAGAACATGTAGGGTAGGTAGTATCCTATAGATTTATTTGGCCAAGCTGAAATCAGAAAACACTTGGGTGTTGTAGCTGTTGGTGAAGGAAGGCAAAATATGTTGTCAGACCACTGATTATTCATCATATATCRTCCTATATAATGAGTCTTTCAGTAATTAATCATAGAGCTGATGGAAAAAGCATTGTGTACTTGCTTTTTAAAATTTGTTCCTTGTAATGAATATGTRTTTTTCCCCTCTCTCTTCTTTCTCTCATTTTTTTTTTCTTTTAGGTTAGAGTTATGTATGCTGCTGGAGAACGAGCATATCTTTGAATCAGAGACTAACCATGAGTTTTTTTCCTCTTCACACTCTCTCTCTTACCAGAAGGTAGTTTCTTTGCTTTCAGTTCTTTCCTTGTTTTATCAATTTGCACACTTCGTGATCTAGAATGACTTCTCCATGAATAAAGATGTGCTGTAATATGTGGGGCTGAGATAAAAAAAAAGAATGGTCAGGTACAATGTAAATTAAAGGAGGGCCAGAGACCTGCCAGGAACAGCTGTCACAAACTGCAGTGGCACTCAGAGTCTGTGAGTTGCACAAGACTGGTGGCAAAGAATTTCTTTGCTTAAATAAGCTGTTACAATCACACTCTCTCAACTCTGTGGATAGAGGAATTATAATATTTAATTCTGTATGGGATAACACCTCTGTGAATGATKAATATTTGTAAAAGCTTTCAAACCTGAAAAACATAGCATTCTTGTGTTTGATAGATGAATAAAGGATTTTTAGAAATAGTAAACATGAAGTGTGGTAAAAGAAAATCATGTGTTATCAAAGCAATTCTGCTAATGGAATTTTGAGCAATTTATTTAGGCACAACTGGAAAGCCATCCTAGATTACTGAGTCTGCACAAGGAAAKTTTAGTGGCAAAACTATGTTAAGAAGGAGCAGGGCCTAATTAGGTATGGGAAGAGGTGCCAGAATACAAACACATATTCTTGTGGAAGGCTCAGTGGATGCTTGATGGCAATTTTGTTGTATTTTTTCTGCACTGTTCCATCATATAATTATTGCTTAGTAGTAACAGTGTGAAAAATCTCACCCTGAGCAAATATAGCTTACATTGCTGCAATGTGGATTTAAGATAAAGTTGTACYAAAAAAAATTGTAAATAAAGATAGTTATATTATAGAGAGGTAGTTTAAGCCTTTCTGATAAAAGAATTTATATAGTTGGGAAAGCTCTGTTAGTGTAGCTCTCCTAGAAACTTTTTCTTACAGTCAAACTCTAAAGTTTTTGGACATTGGGTTGTAATGTGCAGCACAGAAGGAAAGAGAAATGGCTTTTTGCCTGTTCCAGATAACAGTGGAGAAGCTGCCCAATCCGYCGCGTCTAACCATTTTGCTGAGTCGCTACACTACAGATCCCCGGTATCAGCAACTCTTCATCAATCTGGTAAGACTGAAGCCAACTCTAAAAACAAACATTTCCTCTGTGAACAATGTGTTTGTTATATTTTCTCATTTGTTTATGATGGCTGTGTCAGCCACACTGATTTACATAAACACTGCCAATCCCGGGACGTTACATTCTCAACAAAAGTAGCTGAGTACAAACAGCATTCCGAAGTTTTAATTCATATCGTATAAACATAACAGATGTTGATAAAATGAGCCAAAAAGAAAATACAACAAAGGAGACCATTTCAAGGGGGCTTTTGATTAAAATACATTCCAGATTGACAAAATGATACAATGTTAATGGAATAGATCATTTAAATGTCATTATTTGGCTCTTATAGTCCTATAAAGCAAATATAAAGAAATGCTTTTGAGTTTTCAGTCTCCATTATGGTGCAAGGCCTATACATCAACTCACAAATAAAGCTGTATTTCTTCCTCCTTCCCTTCCCCTCCTCCCCATGCCCCCGCTATGACATTGCCACATTTATTTCCTAAATACTGTACTAAAATACTGAGTCTAAAAGCAATAATATATTTGGGATACTGAACAAGCCTTAATGTAAATACGTTATATACAAAATACATGTAGATTCTGCCTCAGTGAATTTCCAGTCTACAGCATTGAACCTGGCCTTATGAGCACACTGGGAAAACCAGAAGAGAGAGCCTAATTTGCAGGAGTTTTATTTAAGAAAAATAGAAAATCTGCTTCTGTTCACTACTTATTTTATAATGAAAATGGAACTGAGTTTGAGATCCATCTAATGTGGATTCCTAGTTTAGAGAACAGCTGAGACTAGAGGAAGGTTGCAAACACATAATGCTCCTAATACCCATTATTTAGCATATCTTTATTGTCTCCTTTTAATAGATGGGGAGCCTGAGATGGAGAGAGGACACACAGTTTACATAAAGTCTAGAGGGGGTCATACATAGGAGTATAATCCAGCTCTTAAATAACTATATCTAGTTATCAAGYGCTCAAGCTTCTTGAGCTACATTGCTCAAGCTGCTGAGGAAGGACAAGTTGGGGACAACCTACTCCACAGTTGTGTGTCCTGCTGATACCTRAATTTTTGGTAGCTGGCATAGTCCCTGGAGCACAAAACTCAGTATTCCTTCCAGCATCCAACATACTGTTATTATCACTCTGAAAACTCTGTTGTTAAACCTGCTTTTCTGATAGCCATATAAATATATACTGTAAAGTTCTTGGTCTTGATGATTTCCTGTGATAGTGAGTTCCATATCAAATTTATATGTGTTATAGAAATAGCATACCTTTTTAKCTTGTTTTTAACCACTTTATATCTTTAAATGTCTCCTTGGTCCTGCTATGAAAGAGGGAGAACAGATGTGTCCCTCTATCGCATACATTTATTTATATTATTTTATCATGTCTTCGTTTCATATTTTTCCTTTGGCTGGGAGGGCATACATATTGGAAACATAATACACCTTTGCGGACAGACCTTAACCAGGTCATAAKTAAGACGCTGTACAATTAAGTAAAAAGTGGAAACTTAGTGAACACCTATGTAAGCTATAAAGAGCAGTCTGGAAAACAATAAAATGAGCTTTAGCTCTGTTCATATGAAGAAACAGCTATAGCGCTCATTGTGTTCAGTGAACAGAATGTAGTACTTGCAGACCCTCTTCTTTGCCGAGCTATGTGATTGTTTTCTTTGTCCTCTTCCTTGCTCTCTSTGTCTCTATGTGAACCGACTTTTATAAGCATTTACTGCAGAATCTTACAGGATGTCATAAATGGTTGTGTAATGAGATAGCAGCTATAAAATATCTTAAGACTTAATAAATATTGGGGTCATTGACTATTTCCAAATAAGAACTCAGACTGTATCAATGGAGCTCAGCTTTGCTTTTCTAGCCTGTGAGATTTGGATACATTCCAGTCATAATAGTTTATTTAGAGTGAACCTGATGGTTTAGCAAAAAAAGAAAGTGTTTTTATACTATGGTATTTCCTGATGTTTTAGGTATAATTGGGGATGGAGAACAGGGGGAGAAGAATGGATGTTCTTACTGACTCCTGTGCCTCCAACCTCTCTCTCTGCAGGCTTCCTCCTCTCCCTCCTGTCCCCATCCCTTTGGCAGAAGTGCACTCATGTTTTTGTCCCCTCCCTATGTCCTCTCTCTTTGTCTTATAGGAGCCATACATAAACAAATCAGCCATGTCGGTCCAAGCTCATTTCTCACTGCAACGCACCTACGTCATCTTTCGCACSCTGGGGCTTCGCCACCTGACTGTTGTTGACCCACAGAACCGAGTGGTTGGGATAATCACCAGGAAGGATCTCATGCCTCTTCCGCTGGAGGAGAGGCTCAGGCTCCAGCTGGCACCACAAAGCCCTGACACGGGCAAGCAGCCCACGGATTAGAGAAGGAGATCAGGCCAGTGGATGTGTTCTTTGGCTTCATTGCTTCTTTGTGAGCCCTTGTTCTTCTTCAGGAAAAAAATAATCAAAGCTTTTCCACTTTTCTGAAAAAGAGATGCTTAAAAGCTGTTGTATGTAGATGTGTGGGATTGCAGCCCAGAGCTATGTCTCCTCATCTGTTTGGTGATTGCAAAATCCATTGATTTAAATGCTTGTAAGAAAAATTGGGAATTTATGTGTTTATCCATCATGAAAGATGCACATAAAATCAGATGTGAAGGATGAACGTCAAGAATGTTTTTGTCGCACTGTGGCTATACCTCACAATGAAAGAATGTCAGGAACCTTAGCAATAAAGTTCTGCTGGCACAACCTTTTAGTGAGGATTACATTAACCTTTGAGTACGTAACTGGCTGTTGAAAAAGAAAACGTTGCCATATCAGCGTTTTTATGCTGAAATCTGTTTGTTTAACTAGGAGGAAATACAGCCTTGAAAGATGGGTAGGCCACTGAAAAGATGGGACAGGGCTTTCCAGCTGGCCTATGTGTATTAGAAACTGAAAGAGAAAATTGTCTGCAAGCAAAAGATACAGAGCGTGGGGCTTCTGCCAAATAAACATCATACTTGACAGTAACAAAAACTTGACATGTCTTTCTGATGCTTCTGTTTCTTTTAATGTCTGCAGCTCCTAGAATAAGGCTCTCTTTCCCTCAGCCTACCTGATATATTACTATTTTTAGTGAGGTTCATGTGCAGTAAGGTAAAGGGCAAATCAAGTAATAAAGGAAGCAGCATGGCAGATGTGGGAGTAGTTTTTATGTATATAGCAGCACATTTAGAAAACAGTCAGAAAGTAAATAATTCTGCATGGCTTTGGAGACATAGACTGCTTGAAAGCTTGGAACTACTCTGATTGTTGGTTGTTAATAAATGAATGAGTACAACTTCTTGGATAAAGAGTCAGTTAGATCTCCTTGACTATGTAATTGATGATTAATTTTTTTCTGTGGAATACCAGAGGGATTTCCACAGATTTGGATATTAAAACCTCACATGAACAAAGCACTCCACCACTATTAATGTTGTTATAATGAATACCAAGGAAAACTCGTAATAATTTACTGGTTATAAAAACTTGCCAAAATTCTTGAAAATGAATTTCTGGTATTTGAATCACGCAGCTTTAAGTCTCCTACAAATCAAAGATTTGTTGGATTTTTTCCTATTTTCCCTGCTGGATCTCATCTTTATTAACAATAATGTTTCTTTTGTAGCACCACAGAGAATGCAAAGCCCTTTTAAACTCATGTGTCCAAGGCAATGCAAATAGCTGGCAGCTCAGAAGTTTATACACAGGTAAATGCCAAAGGCCATTTAAATTTGTCATATGCAGGATGAGAAATGTCCTGTAGGTTATCCAAGCAGGAGACATTGAAGTGATTTTTTTTTTATTTATTTCCTGTTTATTAAAATTTTATTCATTAGAACACTAATAAGGTCTCTGTCACTGCTGACCTATGCCTCACCTATCTGAAGACTGCAAAGTTTTGCTCAAAAGAATTAGGGTTAGATCAGTCCAGAGATACTGACTTCTTCTGTACTAGCAGAACAAGACATCTAGTTTAGCACTCTCTCTCCTACCACTTGCCCTGAAAGGCAGCAAGAATCTGTTTTTCTCGTGATGAACTGAATCTGAAATAAGCTTGCTGTGAATTTGTGTTTTTGGTTCAAAGCCCACTGCTGATTTCCTTTTTCTTGATTTCTTGCGTACACAAAGTATCACCCTATGAAGACCTGGGTAATGTAAAACTTCTTTTTGCTGACAGCATCTGTGGCTAAATGCCTCAGTATGAATTGCAGTTGTGGTGTACTCTGCAGAGTATGAGGGCTGGAGGCAGAGCCAGGATATCAATGTGACTCATTACGTGGCTTTGAACAGGTCATCTAAGTTCTTGATATCTCATTTATTCTGCCTTTAAAATTAGATGAATGAAATCAATTCACCATAGGTGCCAGGAAAATAGGTGTGCAAGACGTTATAGGAATATAAACTGTTTATAGTAATACTTTGTAGAGGCCAGTGATAAAATGTGAGGTGATCTTTTTTCCCTTCTCTTGGTGACCAGTGTAATATCGAAGAAAAAGTTAATGCCGTTTACATGAAAATTCTGAAAACTGTGTGGTCAGCTTGGCACAAGAAAGCATGCTACATTTTTCCTTACATTATATCTAGTTTCATATATATTCACATATACAAACATACACAAGTACATGAACACATGAAAAACAGAATTCTGCCCAAGATTTCCTGAAATAAGTAGCTCCCTTATATTTTGGACACAGATGACAAATCTGTCTTATCACTGGCTGTAACAGCATGATTAACTTTCAAAGTGAAAATATGAAATTTGTGTGTAGCTTTTCATCAATACATGATTTTCAGGATCCCTGTATATAACAGGTCTCTCAAGAATGGCAGTAACAAGTAGATACATTGTTTGACTCTTTGGCACAACCTATTTTTGTTTCTCTTCACAGATATTTATAGCGTGTAGCAAATTTGCTATTTCATCATGATTTGAGACTCACTAGACATTTAGAGCAAAGATGTTAGTTTTAAATGAAGTGCAAACTGTTAATGAATTTTCGCAGTTTGTGAATGCAAATTACTGGGAAAGGGAAAAAAAGGTTTAAATAAAATCTAAGCAATTGTCATTGTGTTGGATTGTGCTATGTTTCTATACTTCTTTTATCTTGCTTTCCGTTATGATGGTGTTTTCCTAGCATTTCTTTTTTCCTCTTAAACCCAAATACATCTTAAAATTCAGGCAAACTGAACTTTAGATCTAGGATTGGAGTGATGCAAAATTCCTCTCATCCAATTAAAAAAGAAGTTCACTGTAGAAAAATAGTTTGTCCTTTGCATATCCCTGTGAATGAATATCAGCTATTAGAAGAAGGGTTCTTTTTATCAGATGTAGCTTTACATTATGGTTTTTCAGGTGTCCTATAATGGACACCATACATATTCTTCTGCTAATATATACACATTAGTGGTGTTTTTCTTATTGTGTGATACTTATATACTTTAGAATTGCCTACTGTTCTTGAACTGCCCAGTTTATCATGCTGTAGAATCTTTTAATATTTCCTTGCTTTCTATTTGTTTCTTGGTAATATTTTTAAATGTAATGTTGTCCTCCTTTAATTGCTGACCATGTGCAAAGAAGGCTGAAGGAGGGAAGACAGATAAAGAAATGCTTAGTACATTTTACATAAAAATGATTACTTTAAGTACTTATAAGTCTAGGACTGATAGAGATAGCAGTAACAGGAATGGTCTATCTCTTCAGAAACCATTGAACTAAAAATCCAAAAGGGATGCCAGCCTCTGTAGTCGTATTTTTAAGTAGTAGAGCCTGGCTCTTTCACTAGCAAGGAAGTGCTCTAAAAGGTTACTGTTGTCTCTGCTTCCCATTTTCACATGGCTTCACTAGCAGAGCTGTCAGTGTATCTCTGGTGATCATGAAATCACTTAACGAAATGAAGTGTAACAAGCTCTCTCCTAAACTAGTGGTTAATTAAGTGTGACCATCAAGTGAGGGGAAACATGGCAGTATACAAGGGAATGCCTGTTCTTCCTGAAAGGCACTATTAAAGTAAAGAGGAAATATGTGATCAGCACAGTTGTCTGGCTGTCTAACCACTGGGAGGCGTGGGAATGCCAATATCAGGGTTCAAACGCGAGGAGCTGCTGCTGCTCCTTGCGGAGGTACTGAATGAACCAGAATAACTGGTCGTGTGTCTGCAGTCAATGCTCAGTGCACTTGCAGGGGGGCAGCGCACAGAAAGGGCTCACTGACTTGCAGTAACTCACTGAGCAGGCGAATCTTGTTTATCTGAGGGTCACAGAGTCTGTGCAAAGGCTTGACCTGTGGGCCCTGAGGCCTCTCCCCTCTCCTTGCCAGGCCAGAAGCTGTGAGGAATTACTTGCCTCTGTGTAGTTTATTTTGAAGAGGATACAGAGAAGAATGTACGGTTTTGTGCCACATCTGTCTGCAAAGAGCTCTGTAAATCTGAGGCCTSGTGGTTTCTGCTAAGTTGTTGCTGTAATCACCCTGGTTGCATATRGTGGAGATGAGATTCAGGAAGTGAGTCTGTGACAAATCTAAAAGGAGAATCTAGGACTTCTGACTTCCAGTTCTCCTTGCCATGAATCTTTCTTATAAAGKCTAGCACCAAAGGAAGACATCACAAATGCACTGAAGATGTATGTTGCATGAGTAGACCTCTCTCATTTTGTCTGCTTTGACACATGAGAGAAGTGTGCCTAGTTGTGAGGTGGGGCTGTCCCTTCTCTTTAGGGCACAGTCATGCAACAGAGAGGGCTGTGAAGTTAGATTGTACTTAGGCAGGAGGACTAAATAAGGATATATGTTACTATTTAGAAAGACAATGAAAAAAAAAGTGTTTTGAGCTTCATAGCTTCATTCAATYATATGACTACCACTGGAAGAAACCTTCTCAGTTGTTGGGAAGTAAGCCACGGATAGGACAAGTGMGTAAGTTAAGGGTTGAGAGCAAAGCACAGAGGAATAGAGGGGCTTAATGTTAAGGGACTTAAAAGTGTTAAGGGACCTAAAACTGAGTTAGACTTTTGAATCTAGGCAGCTGTTTCATGAATGATGAAATAATTTAGGTTGTTAGAGACCTCTGGGGGTCATCCAGTCCAGTCCCCTGCTCAGTCCTCCCCTTCCCCCTTCCTCTCCTTCTAGACTTGTGCAGGGTGCCACGCTAATCTCTATATTATTCCAATTTTAGTGTGTCTCCTGCTGACAGGAGCATGAGTTTCATCAGAAGATAAAAAGGGTTTGTAAACGATTTCTGCTGCCTCCCTCATGATCCACTGTGTTACATTATCCTTATGTTCTTGTCTTTACCTCAGTCCACAATTTTCAGTGGCTTCCTGCATTGCAACAAAGTCTTCACGATCCCCTCCAGCACCCCAGGAGAAGCCTTTGCATCAGCGTGGATACTTGACTGTGTGTCCTCTGCTGTTTTCACAACTGCCCTGACTGCTGGTGCTGTGGACTCCTCCTCGTGCATTTCTCCACACTCCATCTCTGACCCGCTCTGCACTCCAGAAATTTTTTTCCCTGAAATGTTGCTCAATTGCTCTTGGAAAAGCACTGTTTCCTTCTCCTCCTGCCCCCTGACTGAGTGCAGCAGCATTGTTCTTTGCTGTCTCTTGAAAAGAACATAATGCCTATTAGCACAGAGTAACTGCAAATGAAGAAATTAAAATTATACACTCGATGTGTTAACAGAAACATTCACAACATTGTTCTGAGAAGTTATTCATTAGGGTCTGGCCATGATTTTGAAAACTACTCAGGATGGCTTTGCAATGGGCGAAGTTAAGGTGCTGTGTGTGAGGCTTTGGGGCTTGGATATCTTTTGCACAGCGCTCTTCACACATTTGAGTTAYGGCATCCAGCTCTTCTGACAGCAGGACTTGGGTGGGCTGATGGTTGCTGGATACTGTAATGGGAGCAGGCTGGCAGGGTACAGAATGATAAACTCACTTGTCAACAGTCTCTCTGGCTTTCTCAACAGGCTGTGTTTCTTTACCTCTTCATCTTTTTCCTCATGTAGTCCTCAGTAATTTCTCTGGGGTGGGTTAATTGATCTTGTAGTTGTTTGCTATTGCAGTACTTACCTCTGCCTGACATGGAACACCTCTAAGCCAGGCAAACTATTTTTATGTCTATTATCCCCTACTTGGTTCTGTTGCTTCTCTCAGCTGAAAAGAATTCTCCTCAAATTGTTTGCATGTTGGTGGCAATGAAGATGGAAGACCAAAGAAAATAAAGAGGAGATCCACAGTAAATGTTGAAAATGGGGTCCTTCCAGCATGTGGAATGGAAAATAGGCAGCAAGCACCACAAGGTAGCTAGGAAAATAAAAGTATGGGCAAGCCAGATCTCCAGGGACACTAAGGAATGAGAGCTGGAGGAAGAGCTTAGACAACACCTCAGAAAGGAGTAGACTTAAGGCGGCATGTACAGTGGGACACTGTCCCTTCAAAGCTGAGATGGCTCAAAATGTCTCAGCAGTATGGGCTTGCAATTGTAGTCTTTAAGATGGAGAGAATAATTTATGTTGTCAGTAATGCTGTGGCACTGGCAGGACTGCTGCTCCATTCCAGCTTRGGATGCACAGACTGAGCAGTTGTCTGGACCAGTAAAAACACTGTGTCTTGCCTCGCTCTCTGCCCTCCRCTGTGGAGAACCGGCTCTCAGGCTGGCTGGGGCAGCGCGGCGCAATCAGCTCAGATGGCGGAGCTGTGAGGAGCAGGGAGGCCACGACAGAGCCATGGCAATGTTTAGGGTGCCACATATGTATGCTTTGTCCTRAAACAGCACTGGCTGTTTTGGACAACTTGGGTTATATACAGAGTTGTGAGCATCTACTTGGACTAATCTGCAGTGTGCTCAACGGTTCAGGGTCCCTGGGTGTCAGACCTGGGCGTAGCTTAAGGACTCCGTAGGGCAGTTGTGCACCTGCATTTCCTTCTTGCGAGAACCAAGGTATTGTGCAAGGAGGGTGTTCACTCAGGTTTGTCAYGGCGTGAAGTGGAGATATTGTTAAGATACGTGCTTGGATCAGGMTGCTAAGAAATACTCATGGGAATTGCCAGTCAGACAGGGCCGTAATGCTCCATCAATTCATAGATTATTTGCAGCCACTCTCTCTGACATCGTCAGCATTTGATGTTTCTTACTCTTGCAACATCTTTTGATTTATTRCTTTTCAACAGCTGTACTAACAGCATCTTTCCACAATTAATTTTACTTGGTTATTTCCTCTATTTCTGCTTTTCACTTTCTTTAAGTTTGTTTGGCATTATTTCTTCACCTTTTAATGATTGCACTTTCCTCATTGCTTTGCATGGGAATTCTTTTGTTTGTAGAAATTCAGGAAATTTTGCTTACTTTACCTCACAGTCTACTGTTGGCATAAAAAATGACTCACTGTTGGTCATTCCTTGCTTATTCTGGTCACAGAGGAATTTTCCAGACTTGTGCCATGCCTTGAGTACTCCTGTTTTTACTTCTAATTAGCATCAGAGGGCTCTGAATTTCTATTCCTTTGCACTGCAGGTGTGTTCAGATGCATTGCCTTTTGTGGCCATTTCTCTGCTAATTTCCCATTCTAATGCAAATCTACACAGATGCCATCTAAATGGGCTCAAAATAGATTTCCTTAAGGCTATCAGAGACAGGATTGCAGCCTGACTTAGGTAAAATTTCATCTAAGTGAATTTCACCTATTTCATTACAGTTCTGTATACTTCAGTGAACTTGAATAACTGTGTAAAAGGTCTCTGCAGAAAAATGTAGCAGATCAGGGGTTATGTGTAATTTTCCCTGGTGATTTATGTATTTTAAGATTAGATCTAGCATTTTGAGAAATGCTGTTTGAAGCTGTTAATTAGGATTGCCACAACAAACTAAAACATRCAGATAGCTAATTGGTTAAGATTGTAGCAAAAAGATACTGACCTGTCCCTGTCAAATATCTTGGGGTATGCATTTGTTTAGATCTGTTCTTCTATTTTCTTGGAGTAGAGAGTGGATTAAAGAATGAATCATATCAATGAGATAGTGAGGGTTACTTTTTTGTCATCTGGGAGTAGCATTCCTATCTTAAATCTTTTAATGTTAATGGGAGGATATAYATATATATWTTTTAYTAAATATTTCTGTATTASTTCTACTTGTATTTCTGACAGAACATTGTCAGGTAAGTTTTCAGTTTTTTTCATGAGTGAAACCCATTAGAAACCTCTTCAGAGCATCTCAGCATCTATATGCACACAGCAGCTTAATAAACTCTCACAATCCGTACAGTTACTGGCAAACCTCGTTCATTTTATGAATAATTTTAGTTGAATCTTAATAGGAAAAAATGTTCATATGAACAGCATGAGCAACAAATTTCCAGACAGAAACATGGAGGAGGGAGAGTATGTATAGACATAGTCTGTGGGGGCCTGTGACTTCACCACATTTCACACGATAAGAGGGTTCACTTCAGGAGCTGGTAACTGGATAAAGACTTGAAAGACCAGGCTGCAGGAAGTGGGGATGGTGATTCAACACATGGCTGTCTTCCCTCCGAGTCATCGTTGAACCGGTGCCCTGATGTGATCATCAGTGGGAATTGGATTAGAAGAGATGCTGTTTCTTGGGATGAGATTTGAAACTTGGGTCGTGACCACTTGATGTCATTAAGCGTTACGTGCCATTTCTGTGTGAGAGCATGGATTTCAGGTTCTGCATGTGGGCTCACTTCCAGCTTGGTTACTTCTATGTTGCAATCTAGCCTCTCTTCACTGCTTTGCCGGCATGCACTGTTTCTCTCTTCTGCCGCTACTTTGTGCCACATGGAGCTGTGGACTGCGCTAGTCCTCTGCCTGGCTTCAATGGCACATTTTGTGYCATTGCTGCTTCTACATAGTACTTAATCCAGAACTTTCAGAGAGCTTCTAAATTACTGAAATTAGAAATAACGCTATATATATATTTTCTTTTCTTTCTATAAGTAGCATTTGATCTTCTTACCAGAAAAAAAAAAAATATTATTTGGCAACAGGGTAATTATATATTCAAAGATGGTACATATTGTACTTAACAGAGCAGACACCTGCCAACCTGGCCTTAGCGAGGCATCCGCACAGGTTTACAGCTAGGAAAAGCCTCCTTGTGAAACACTCCTTTACTGCTTTTGACGAGAGGAAAYGTCAGGATGAAGATTTAAGCAGTAAAGTGACACTTTGTGATCTGAAAACAGCAGAGACGGCACCCGGGGTAGAAACGCAGATCGAGCGACCATCTGTCT